CCCACGTTGTTCGTGATAGCACCTTTAGGATATTCATTGTTTTCAAGCATTTATTTTTAAGATGTTTTATGTGCGGTACAAAGGTTAACTTCGCATCTAAAATTATACCTAGGAACTTATGTTCTGTGTTTACGGGTAGACGCTCACCCTTAAAGACTAGTTCAGGATCAGGGTGCAAGCCTCTTTTTCGTGAAAAAAGGACACAGGTGCTTTTCTGTGGGTTCAGTTTGAACCCGTTTTCATCAGCCCATTTGGATATCTTGTTAAGGGCGAGCTGAACCTGTCGCTCACAGATCCCAAGAGAACACGACTGAAAACCTATCTGCACATCGTCGACATATGTTGGATAAAAGATATTTCGTGGGATGTACAGACGGAGAGAATTCATTTTTATAATAAACAGCGTACAGCTGAGGACCCCACCCTGTGGCACTCCGGTTTCTTGTACAAATGTTCGGGACAGAACATTGCTCACTCTAACGCGGAAGGTACGATCAGACAGATAGCTTTCAATGACCCTGAACATATTACCGCGTATACCTATGTGTGAGAGGTCTCTCAATATTCCAAACCTCCACGTAGTATCGTAGGCCTTCTCCATGTTGAGAAACACAGATAAGAAAAACTGATTATGAACAAAAGCCTCACGTATGTGTGCCTCGATACGTATAAGATGGTCGGTGGTAGATCGGCCCTCTCTAAACCCGCATTGGTATGGGTCGAGCAATTTGTTTGTTTCTAAGTAGTGGAGTAAGCGGCAATTGATCATTTTTTCAAATAGTTTGCAGAGGCAGCTTGTTAACGCTATAGGTCTGTAACTTGATACAATAGAGGGATTCTTTCCCTGCTTCAAAATTGAAATTATAACAGCCTCCTTCCAGGAGGAGGGGATCACATCTGAAAACCATATGCGATTATAAAGAGAGAGGAGGGTTTCTTTAGTTTCGGAGGGTAGTTACTTCAGCATCGCGTAAATTACGTTGTCAGAACCTGGGGTAGATGTATTACAGCAGCTGAGTGCTGTTCGCAGTTCTGCTAAGCAGAATGGTGCATTATATGCCTCATTTCTTGCGGATTTTCTTTCTAACTTTTGTTTTTATATTCGTGCCTTGTAATTCTGGAAGGATTCGGAGTAGTGTGAGGAGCTCGATATATGTTCGAAATGTGTGCCAAAAAAGTTGGCTTGATCCTCCAAGCTTTCCCCGAGGCTATTTACAAGTGGAAGGGAATACGTTTGTTGGCATTTAATTTTCTTTACCTTATTCCACACTTTTTCCTCATCTGTGTACGAGTTTATCCTCGATATAAACTTTGTCCAGCTCTCTCGTCTAGCTTGTCGACGCGTTCTCCTTGCCTGCGATTTGACCCGCTTGAAATTTTCCACGTTTTCTGCTGTAGGGGAATCGCGAAGCAACACCCATGCTTTGTTCTGAGTGGTCCGTGCTTTACTGCATGCGTCGTTCCACCATGGGACTCGCCGTTTAGAAGACATGCCGCTCGTTTTGGCAATACATTTAGATGCGGCATCAAGTATAAAAGCTGTAAAATACGTGACAGCGTCATCTATGGTCAAGGCAGACAGCTCAGTCCATGTCATGTGTGTAAGAGTTCTATACCCTTCCCAATCAGCTGAGTCAATCTTCCATCGAGGAACCTGCGGGGGGAGTTCATCTTTGTTCGGCGCACTCAGGATGATTGGGAAGTGGTCACTACTATAAGGGCTTTTAAAAACTTTCCACTTAAGAACAGGTAAAAGGGACGGTGATGAAATGCTAAGATCTATGGAGGAGTACGTGTTGTTTGCAAGGCTAAAATACGTAGGCTCCTTTATATTTAAAAGACATAAACTAGAAGAGAAAAGGAGCTGCTCAATAAGACGTCCACGTGCATCACAGTGAGCATCGCCCCACAGGACATTGTGTGCATTAAAATCACCTAGAACCAGAAACGGCTCTGGGAGTTCATCTATTAATGATTCTAGATCACGTCTGTGTAGCTGTTGATGCGGTGGTATGTACACAGAACATATGGTAATGAGTTTGTTAAAAAGTACAGCTTGAATGGCCACTGCCTCAAGGGCTGTTTGGAGCTTCAAATGCTGGCATGCTATACTACGATCAGCTATAATGGCTACACCGCCAGATGGTATGACAGCATGCTCCCGGTCTTTTCGGAAAATAATATATTGTCGTAGGAAGTCCTTGTGCTTAGGAGTTGAGTGCGTTTCTTGCACACATAGCACTTTCGCGTTAAACTTACTCAGAAGTTCTTGGACGTCATCTAAATTTCTAAGTAATCCCCTTACGTTCCACTGTATGATTTTGTCCATAGTGGAAAAAAAAAGGGAAAAAGTGCTGTGTGCAGAAAAGACGGAGAGATTCGCTCATTTTACAGGGCCTTTGTCAGGCCCTGTAATCGGCGTTCTGTCTTTTTTGGGGCGGTCGAGAGAAGCTCGCCGCTCCTTCGGCGCTTCCTGCGCCGTTTGGCTTGAAGTGGTGTCCATAGCCTCTTGCGAGACACTGGACGCCCGCTCTACAGAGCGATCTGTGCGTCGCTTAGACTTCGCCTTGATCGACGAAGTCTTTGTCCCCACCGAGCTGGGGGTCGACAAAGCCCCCTTGGCCTCGTGATTGCCCTGGCTGCTGCCAGAGCTTGTAGAGGTCACTGGTGTGGACAGGCTGAATGTGGGCAGGGCAGCGCTGGCTGCTCCCGCCGTAGGGGCTTGTGGCGTTGGCCTCGGCACGCTAGGCGAGGTCCGGGCAAATGCCAAGGGCCTTTGTGGTGCCGCCCCTCGTTGCACCACTTCGGCGAAAGGTGTTTTTAGTGCCAATGTTCGTGAGACCCGTTGTCTTGCTTCCCTGAATGTGATATTTTCCTTTACTTTTATAGTTATTATTTCTTTTTCTTTTTTCCAGGCTGGGCACGCTCTGGAGTATGCGGGGTGACTACCTTCGCAGTTAGCACAGAGGACCTCATCATGACTACATTCATCAGCACTGTGGCCGGTTGAGCCACACTTAGCACAGATCAGCTGCCCTCGGCAGCTCTGGGATGCATGACCAAATCGCTGGCATTTGAAACAACACCTCGGGTTCGGAATGAAGGGTCGGACATGGAGTTTTATATAGCCAGTTTCGAGAGTCTCAGGTAAAGTGGTTGAGTTGAAGGTGAGTATTAAGTGCTTTGTTGCTATTTCGTTGTTGTTGCGTCTGATTATGATGCGCTGGACATGTATTACACCTTGGTCCTTCCATCCATCAAGAAGCTTTTCTTCACTCAGTGTCATCAAATCTTCGTCCGATACCACGCCCTTTACTGTATTCATGGTACGATGTGCGCTCACAGAGACGGGGATGTTACCAAAGGCTACGAGGTGCGAGAGTTTATTGTACTGTTCCTTGTCTTTTAATTCGAGAAGCAGATCTCCACTTGCCATCTTCGTGGCCTTATAACCGGTTCCAATGGTCTCTCTCAAGCACTTGGCCACAAGGAAGGGTGAGATTGCTCTAGCTTTTGTAGATGATTGTTCGCACATGGTATTTTGGGAAAGTTTCTCTGTTTTTCGACCAAAGTAGTGAGGTTGCGTCGGTGCGTACCCTTTTCGAGGCACGATCAGTTAGAGAGGGGGTCGAGGATCCCATGGGAAAATGTGTATTTTTCGGTAACGGCGCCTACCACCCACCACGGAGTCCAACAAGGGGACGTGGCAGAGCATGTGGGCATGTCTGCGCAACGCCAGCAGTACGCAGTTACTATAACCCAATATGGTTTACCCTAGTTTGGATAGCCACACAAGGTTAACCCTTGCCGCCAGGGAAAATTGGAAGTAAAATGAAGTGAGGAGAAGACAGAAAAGATGTAAAGTGAGAACAAAAGACGAAGATATAGGGAGAGAGAGATAGGAAAAGGCGACTGCCGATTTCCCCTGGGTGGGTCAGCCCAGGGGTGCCGTCTACGTGAAGCCGGGGCCAAAGGGGTGTGTTGCCTCTTCCGGGGGGCCTTAAAGGTCCAATTACCCAGCGTCGGCTCAACCCCCAGGATCCCCTTATCCCCGGACACGGCAAAGCCACGCACAGCTAGGCGTGGGAGGGAGTAGAAACTCCCCCGTTAGCTCGGGTCCGTGGTGTCGCTACACACCAAACGCCTGCTTGCGCAGGTGCCCCTGCGGGGGTCTTTCCCGCCTTGGGGAATCTCAAAAACCATTTCCGTCTTGTGGGCGATAAGACAAATAATTATCATAGGTTTTCGACTTGTTTCTTGCTTTACTGACGCAACGAAGTACGCTTGCACTATGTAAGTGCAAGCCAGTTTTTCTGCTGCAAGTGAGTCTGAATCACCATTAGACTAGTGAATAAAAATCTGACTCATTGGATGTCAGCCTGCCATACGAGGATTTGTTTATGAGTTAAGACACAAATTTTAATCAACGAGCGACATCTCAAAAATTCGTGTGGTGAGACAATGCCAATTTGATTAAAACCGACTTTTCTTTCTGTGTTTTCGCTTTGTGCACTTATTTTTGTATAACTGTAAACTATACAAATATTTATTGCAATGAATAATTTTTTAACATTTCCACAAGCTTTATCTCAGAATATATCTTCATGTTACTGATGACTAAACCATGTGTATGTAGCAACACAAATTTTTTTGTCCTTTTATGGTCACCCTTTTATGGTCACCCTAAAAAATTATATTTTTTCTTAAATAAATCCACGTGAAATTTTCAAATCAGCAATACAAAAATTTACCCTGGTGAGTCACATTAAGTGAAAAAATTCTACCCTCACAGGGACAGTAAAAAGAAATGGTCAGCCTTTGCCAGTGCTGTTCCTTGTAGCCAGCTGAATTTTCATTTCTCATAATATGTAACTGAGCTAAGGAATCTATGCTTTGAAGTTAAAAAAAGCCACTGACATTAACAATTTTTATTTGCATATTGTACCAAAAAATTAATTTGAAATTCAAAACAAACAAAACCACAAGAAATGAGAACAAACCTGGACATGCTTGATATAGTTGAGAACCCAGAAGTTTCAGAGTTGAAGCTGCTCTGTTTGCTTCGTAGTTCTGCCAACATTGCCTTCCCTGAACTAAACAGATTGAATAGAAAAAAAAAAGGCATTCACCAAAGTGACTACAAAAAATGAAAATAATTTGCGGTCTAATATTACCAGACCACCCACTAACCAGTGCATGGTCTAGAAATCCAAAATATCCCATTTCTTCCTTTACAAGGAAACAGACACACTACTGAAAAAGTACAACACACAAACATGAGAGCCATATTTGTATATGCCGATGAAATCTCAATTTAAAGGACTACTAGAAAGAAACACCGAATTGGCTTTGACTTATAAAATATTGTTTCAAGACTGCCTTCTCCAAACTCAGCTAAAATAGGTCAATTATAAGAGGCCCTTCATTAAAATGAAGGTCCAAGTTCTGATTTTACAGCTAAGCTGTCATGATTAGGATTCCATAAAATTTGAGTGTTCATCGACAGAAGATGCATCCAGATATGAAGATACACCAACCAACACTGGAGAATTGTGAGTAGAAACAAAACGCCCTTCACCGCAATGTGTGGCAATGTAGTACTGCTATGGTGCATGGCCACTTGCATGCCTGCCGCATTAGAAAAGGTGTGCACATTACACTCAGTCTTTAGACAGCATTCCATGGCTAAGCCACGCTTAGTTAAAATTGCTGACAAAGAGCGCAGCTTGTTGTGCACACGGCTGGGCAGAGAAGTTGCCAGGTGGAAAAGAACCCGCCTAGTAATGATTTTGTTTATGTGGAGATAGTGCTATGGGAAGGCCAGGCATAGTTGGCACTCTTGAAGAGCAGCTTGAACGTGATACAGCGCATTCAATTTTCATGCTGTCAATCATTTCATGTCACGAATTCCTCAATAGCTTAAGGCTATGTTACATTTGACAATAATATTCAGTGACACTACAGCTTCGTTAGCCAACCATCATGAATTAAACCTTTTTTTTTTTCTTTAACCCTTTGCACTACACAACCCTTTCCTATCTTCCATCTACCTGGCCCAAAAGTAAAACTCAAAGTTCAGGTAAAATAAGTTTACTTATTCTTTTACAGATGGTGCATAATGTAGAAAGAAAACGCACACTTAAATATCTGCACAAGAACTTGTCCAGCAGTGCCCGAACATGGACTGCTGTGACCGTGTTGAGCTGTTATGCAGGGACTGACAACAAACTGCAAGGGGTTAATGAAACATTTGAATACTAATGCCAGGTAAATCAGTGTGATCTATACTTTATAGCATTATTCAATCCACTGCGGCTCAATAAAAGTTATCAAAACATGCCATGCTCTGTCTGAATCTTCTGTACGTAAAGTATTTTTATGGATAAATTATTAACAGCATCTAAAATCCATGACATCACGACAAGCTCATGCAGAATCTTCAAGGCAGTGTTGCCACTGTCTTAGTTTTTTTAGTCCTTTCTAAATATTTTTGACTTTTCACATAAGGGTGGTTCTGTTGGCCCTTGTACTAACAAGGGCAATTTAATAGATGCTGAACTGGTTTACCCAAAGTATTTACACAGAACCGACATTTATGAAAGTTTTGGTCCCTTCCACAGCGGTTAACTTTATCAATTGTGAAAATCGCATAGATTCTCATCTTTCCACCTCTGCTCCTTGTTCTATCACATGGTAAAGGCTGTGCACGTAATCAGAGGGCATATAATAATACCTAGGGTTGTACGTCCCAAAACCACAATATGACTACGAGAGGCCCTTTAATGAAAGGCTCCGGAAATTTCTATCATCGGGTGTTCTTTAACGTGCATTGACATTGGATGGCACACGCGCCTCTACCATTACGCCTCCATCGTAATGCAACCATCAAAGCCGGACTCGAACCCGCGACCTTCGGGTCAGCAGCCGAGCACCTTAACCACTGCACCACCATGTCGGACAAAACAGAGGGCCTCATTTCCCAAGAGTGGTTAATGTTGCTAGCAGTATTCTCAATGTGCCAAGACTCCACACTCAAACCTAATTATAAGTTACATCTTACATAAAAACAGCCTTGTTACGTCTGAAAATTATTTATGGAGGTATATTCATAACACTATATCATATTCTTCAATTACTACAGACATTTTGTTATATCCAGGTTTGTTATATCCAGGCTTGATTGCAGTAGTAGAATTCCACTTCCCAAGTTTGAATCAGTGCACCGAAAAACTGTGGCTGGAGCCATTCCAGCATTCAGTATTCCTTCACCCAGCCAGACAATCTGACAAAGCATGTACGTTTAAAGGGCCAGTAAATAGACCCCTACATTTTTTTGCTATCTTTCCCAAACAAGCTTGCCAATTCATGCAGAAAGCCATGGTGATTATGTTTTATAAATGTCACAGTGCTGCACACAATTTTGAAAAACAGTAAAACGATTCTCCACCCTTCTACAGTGCCTGCACAATCCCTGCATGCGCAAGGACGTAATCTTGCCCATAGGATACTTTACATAGCCACCACCTTCATTGATTTGCACAACAAAACAGTGCCTAGGCTCTGCAGTGGTGCAGTTTCGGCTGCGCATTTACCATGCTTCTTTAACACATTACTAGAGTGAACCTAGCGCCACTCTGACGTGAAATACATGTGCAGGAAGCCTTGCATGGTTGTAAGACGCATGCTGATGACGTAATCCCTGATGTTGTCTTACGTTGCTCAAATAGGCAGTCATGAGGACGGGCTGCGCCTACCCATCTACGCTACTGAGAAGGGTGGAAAGGCCAAGCGAGAATTAGAAGCCAGCCCAAAGTTCTTCTATACCCTGTACCTTCCTTATTGAACACTAATGCCAGGTTCTAACCATGTAGCCAACGCAGCGGTGCCTACATGGTTAGAGCGTCCGCTTCCAATGCGGGAGATGTCGGGTTCGATTCCCAGTGCTGACCGAGAACCCACCGGTTTTACCCGATGTGTAGAAGAGTACACTGACCTAGCAATCGGTTGTTTCTGGGTACTCATCTCGAAAGGTAGCTTCATAAGGTTCTGCAAAAGCCCTCGGGCGTGCTTTAACCCACCACAGCCTTGATGAAACAGTCGAGCATCTGCTGCTGCTGTGGGAGGATGGGAATTGCTGCCACCAGGTACCTACTGACTAAATAGGTACAAGCACACTTTGAGCCTAGTGCTTGGCAGAACAAAGTTGTAGTCGCTTGGAAGGGCACTCACCCCGTGAAAAATTGGCAACATGGCCAGACCTAAAATTAAGGTCATCCCCTTTTTTTTTTATGATTGTGTGTGTAAATCTTGAAGGCCTGTATGCAGATGGTGCTGGTGTCGTAGTTACAGATGGTGCTCATGTCGCACTTTTTAATTTTAAACGTGTTGATGCGTGCTCTTCAAGTTCTGCTGTGTTTACAAATTAACGCAAGCCATGTCCCTGCGCATCAGTCATCCTATGAAGGGTGGACAAGGCCCACACGAGGAACCTCATGGTTTTGGCGAAGGAGCCAAGCCTCGCATGGTCAACATGGATAATTATTGGAGACGCACACAGCTTCCAACTTTGATTGTGCAGGCACGGTCGAAGCACATACCCAGCACCACTGCGATAAAAAACAACAATAAATGACAGCGGTTCTGAAAAAAAGGACCCTTCGTAAATTTCAAAGCGTGTTCAGCGAACGCCTGTGCCTGTTGAGACAGGGTTGGTCAGAATAGAGTGCAGTGTGCGCGTCTCCCTTCTTACATGAGTGGGCATGTTGAGCACAGCTACACTACGCAAGCAAAGCACGAGCGCTAGAGTCCGACACGACCAGCATCCACTGGCGCAGCACGGCAGCCTCCTGGCCCAGACCAGGACACGAACGAACAGACTGGGGTGAGTGAGCATGAGACATTGAAGTCTTTCGCTTTAAAACTTTTATGTCTTTAATGTAGCGCATGGAAAGCAATCTTTCAGTTGCTTTCGCCGCAGTACTCCAGTGTCATGCAATATGCGTACGAAGATTAGCATACTAGCTGTCACGGCTCACACACACACCCAGGTTTACTAAATACACATGGGTGCATGGGCCATATATTTATTAGTGTAAGCAAGATCACATATGCCTAAAAATTTCAGTGTCAATCATTCAGGAGTGTTTCCGTGACATTGCTGCTGGCCTGACAGACAATGAATCGAAACATGCCCCAGCTTTCCTTTGTTGTACGCTAATTTTCCACATTTTTTCTAGTCATACGAATTTCAGATGATACTAATATTTTCATGACCCCACAAGATTCGTATAACCGATGTTTCATTGTATTCGAAGTGAACAAATAAACATATAAAAAACGAATGTGACCTCCTATAATGGTGGTTTCACTGCAGTGGGCGGGGGTGCTACACTGTGAAAACACCCACTCAAAGAAAATCACATTACCGCACAGCCCAACTTAAAGGTTCCATGAACCTATCACCCTCGATTTAATTCATCATTTACTACATTTAAGAGCTTGTTATACTGACCCTCACATCAAGTCCTTTACTAAGTTTAAGAGCTTGTTATACAAACTTATAAGCTCTAACTATGGTAAATTTTAAAACATAATGCAAATTATGGGTTATAGCTTGCATTCTACTGAAAGTCAAATCCTGCTACAATTTGAAGTTGTTTCCACTTCCCTTTGAACTAAAGAGAATGACACTGGTGCATGCCTTGTGTCAATCAGAAAAAGAATTGTGAAGGTTTGTTGGGTCAAAACAAATATGCCAATTTTTTTTTAGAATATGCGAAATGCACTACTCAAATTCGATTTGAAATTATTTGCCGAAATCACTACTCGCTTCAAATTCACTTCGAACTAAAATATTACTATTCGCACAAGCCTAGTATAGAGGAACACTTTGTGCCATGCGGCTTCAATACATTTTTATGTCTGCATTTTGGTTTTAATGCCCATAAATTTATATTATTTTGGGTCTTATTTATATTATGGGTCTTATTTATATTATTTATATTATGTCTGAGGTCTCTGAAAACCTTTAGTTAGATTAGCAGGTCATAGCAGTACCTTAAATCTAACTTCAATAAGAGTATGCTTTTTATGCCACTGCTCAAACTATACATTTCTAATAATTAATAATAACTTTTGGGGTTGTACTCTTCAAATCCATGATATGATCATGAGGGATGCCATAATAGAGGGCTCCAGAAAATTCGACACCCTGGAGTTCTATAACGTGCACCTAAATCAAAGCACATGGACCTCTAGCATTTTCGCCTCCATTGAAAATAAGGGCTTCGATCTCATGATCTTTGGGTCAGCAGTTCAGCATTGTAACCACTAGAGCACCACGACCAGTAAACTTTCGATTTGTAAAAATTAGGTTAAATGCAAAGCAGTTTTCGGTGACCCAACCACTACGGTGGTCTATAGTGGCTATGGTGCTCAGCTGCTGGCCCGCAGGTTGCGGGATCGAATCCCGGCTACGGACGCTACATATTCAATGGAGGAGAAAATGCTTGAGGCCTGCGTCCTTAGATATAGGTGCACCATTAAAAAACTCCAGGTCGTTTAAATTTCCGGAGCCCTCCACCACAGCTTCTCTCATAATCATACCATGTTTTGGGGATGTTAAAGCCTATCAATTATTATTACCTGTGGTGTTGTTCAGCCATAAAAAGTTTTCATGCCATTCTTCTACTTCCTGATGCAAGGCTTAAAGGGACATTAAAGAGAAACAATACTTGGTTTAAATTGATGCACTTCTATCTGCAAACTCTAATGCCATATGTTTCACTATCATAAGTTCATTATTAGTGGGGAAAATCATGGTAGAAGTTTAATTTTTAAATTTCACACCGAAATCTCCGTGCATGAGGTTTGAAATTTCATCTTGTTTAAGAGAGTGTGGATTTAGTTGAGAAAAGACACACGGCAGAAAGGACAGAAATTTAAAAATGAATTCATCGTATTTTCCCACCGCGGTTTTCTAGTGGATAAGATACTCGGCTGCTGCCCCGCAGGTTGCGGGATCAAATCCCGGCTGTGGCGGCTGCATTTCCGATGGAGGCGGAAATGTTGTAGGCCCGGGTGCTCAGATTTGGGTGCACGCTAAAGAACCCCAGGTGGTCGAAATTTCCGGAACCCTCCACTACGGCGTCTCTCATAATCATATGGTGGTTTTGGGACGTTAAAGCCCACATATCAATCAATCAATCATATTTTCGTGACATTGGCTTATTAAATTTTCTGAAACTTCATATGCCAGGTCCATGGCACTTACAGCACTTACAGATGACAATGTACTTAATTTTTATCGATTAGCAGCTACATAGGGCTCAGTAGATGCCTTTGAAATCTATGATGGCACGGTGTTTGGTGCGGGAATCTCAAGGTATTTTCTTTTCATATTTCTGAATGTATTTTCATCGTATTTTCTTTTTGCACACTTTTTTGCTTACAATGTGCCATGCCCCTGTAAAAGTGGTGCTTTTGGGATTGTGAAATCGTACTTTACTTATACACGAAACATCATTTTGCTCTTTAGTGTGCCTTTAACACTTATTTACATTAAGTTGGAAATCTCACACCATAAATTAGCACACTCATTACCTTGACTGGACCGACTTGGGCTGGAGCAAGGCTGCATTATCCAATGTTCGAGCTGCAAGAAATAAAAGTAGACCTTCGGGCCCTGATAACACATTTCAAGGCATACAAGGCAAGAGCATTATTTCTGATCGTGTACTGCATGTCAGAAGTATGCAAACACGACGAAGTTAATAGGCACAAGTGTGTTATGAGGATGCGTAACTGCATCCAACTATGGGTTACTCAAGTAGAGCCATTTAAGCAGCAGTGCATTATGACCGAAATTATGCTAATTTACAATATGCTTGTCAATTCTGGGTTTTTCACGTACAACACCATCACTGAAAAATGTGAGTGATAAAAGCTTCACGTAAAAACAAGTCATGCATGAGTGAGCTGCATAAGGAAGACTTACCCTCGGCACCGAGGCTAAGGTTGTCATCCTGTGTCTCATTGACAGGAGCTTCCAGCATAGGGCATTCCATATGACCCTGGTAGCCACTATCCTGGTGCAACATAGATGCCAGTTCAACTGGCTGTATGTTGCTTGACTCCTCCCTTATTTTAAGTTCAACAAGATAGAGAAAACAAGAGCAAATATTACAGAATCATTCATGCGGGAATTCTCAGGCATACACAAGCAAAGCAAACTAGTTTCCTCAAGGCATTGGATGTAGGGAAAAAAATGCCGCAGCTCCACTACTACGAAACCTGAGGAAGTGCATAACATAGACACCCAGCGATTCTCGTTGTGCTGTTGTTATTGTTTTGTTGCTATTGTTATTGGTGCTACGACTCCTGCTATTGCAGTTTTGATATTATTGTATCATGTGGTTTTAACGTCATGTGATGTGCTGCAATGTGTAATGACGATTAGATACTGTGAAACAGTGGTTGCGTTTTGGCGCACGGGAGAGGCAGTTTGGTTGTTCTGTCACTATTGATGCTGCGTGGCAGCTGCCTTCTTACACACCATGGCTGAATTAGCCTGGCGATGTAGGCGTTCTACTTGTGCTTGCTTTGAATTGAGTTTAAGATTGGCTTTCCTGCACCGACGAGTCACAGCGGTCTGACCTTAAACGATTCCGGGCTGCTGTTTCTGCTCCTTACGTTCTATAGCTTCTCAATGAGCCTTTACTTGGCGAGGCACAGACGGAATTCGCTAGGCTGGTCGCGCTTGTCAAGCAGCGGCTGTTCGCTGAGCCTTCAGCTTGAGATTTGAGTGGCGTCGACGCTGTCTTTCCTAGTGCGCTTGCCAAACTATGCATGCTCATTGGACGCTACAGAAGTGCTGGTGTAAGGAGGAATCATGCGCCTGCCGAGGTGGTGGCCCCTTCTGCAAAGCACTGCAGTCAGCTACAGGTTTCCGAAACGCTTTTAGCGATTTTAAATTATTTGTACGAATAACTTCTATGCTAGATCTATTATTTCAACTTTGTTTGTTTATTGTAACCTGGTTTGTAGCATTGCTAGTCTTGTTTTAGGCCTGCACTGAGCGTCTGATTGTGGGTGTGATCACTCGAGACTGAATTTAGGCAAATGCCTATTTTGTTCCTCACGCTCCTATTCGCGCCCCTTTGATATATGAGCCTAAATCAGAGGTTCGGAAAGGTTTTCATAGTGCCTTTATAGTGCCTGTAAACGCCTATTTTTTTAAGTGTATTCAGAGAAAAGCACTTCGTTTCATTTCCAATAAATATGGTAGGAACGTGTCAGCATCGGGACTATATATGCAATCTAGTCTTTGCACTCTCGAATCATAGCAGAAGTTGCACCTTCGCAAGACAATCTTCAACATCATTAACAGCCAGAATAAACTGGACTTCCGGACATACATGCAATTTAACAGGTCACGAACTACCTGGACGAAACCCAACAAGACCATCATGGTACCTCAAATGCAAAACAAATAGGTACAACAGTTCCTTTTTTTCGAAGACTATAGTTGAGTGGAACGGGCTATCAAATGATGTGGTGAATTTGTCAACATCTTACTTTTTTTTTGTCTGCTACTGTTCCCTACTTGTGATAGCTGGGGGTGCTTTTTTACAATCAAACCCCTTTATAGAAGACACTGATATAAGAGACAAGTGAATATGAGAGACGCAGGTGTGCCTACAGTAAAATACGCATCGGTAAGAAAATGCATACGAGGTACCCTGCTTGTAAGAGACATCTCATTATAGCACTATTATAAATTTCATTTGAACCACAGCACATACATATTCATAATATAAATACAGGGCATGCAAATACGGACAAAAAAAAAGAAGTTAGGACACCACAAACGCCTTGCGGTGTTTGTGGAATCGTATCTTCTTCCTTGTGTCCATGCTCGCATGCCTTGCCAGCCCTGTCTTTTTGTAATAAATGTGAACCAACAAGCTCAACTCTGTTAAATTTTAAGCGCATACATAGCCGAGAATTCCAGAATGCACACCAGATTGCCTTCAATTTGCAACAGCCTCAAAGATTCAAGGGGCCGGTTTCTTGTTCATGAAGATCGCATTAAAAAATGAAACAAAGAAAGACCTACAAGCCATGGCTTTTTTAAGTTTTAACAACATAAACTGACCAAAGATAAAGCTTGCAGATACATTTTGAGGAGCTATAGCAGAAATACCCAAAATAGTCTATAATAACTGGCTTAGAGCAAGCCGTTAAGGACATCACATATATAAGGTGCACCTAGAACTTCTATGCACAAGAGAATTACCTGATACTAACCTGAATCGACAAAAGGAGCCTAAGAACTTCGTGAAAGTGATGACTGCTGTTTGCCCAACAGAAGACATAAGCTACAAATAAAACCTGAGAGGTTCAGGAAAGGTAAAACTGCCACCCACCCAACAAAAGCACAAAGCTTCACAGAAAACCTGTATGAGTTTCCTTCATAACATTTCAATAAGATCTTCGAATATACATTGGTCACCATAGAGAAAAAGAAAGTGACAAAGACAAAATAACAATCAAGCCACTGAAAAAAGAAAAAAAAAAAGCTGCAGTAGACTCACTTATCTGGCTCATCAGCTGGAAGTGAATTCACCCACTCTTGCACAGATGTTGGCGACTTCGGTGGTGTCTCTGCTCCTTTAAGAAAAAAAATTCAATAATTCACAAATATTTACGTATGCAACCTGCCATACATATGCTTTTGCTCATGTAAATATTTACCAAAACATGTTAACAAAACCTGCTTCCCAAACATTGCAGAAGTGGACGATTGAAACAAAGATGATAAGTGCTGACATCTGACATCATTTAAAAGCAACTGCCCTAGGTGTCTATGTCAGAGGTCCCATCAGAGAACCCCTGTGATGAGTGAGTGTGGCTTCAGTAGGACAACAGTACTATGTTCTCGGTGTTGTGTTGTGTTGTGGTATCTCCAGTGCGGCAAACGCGGTGGCGTGGACACTAGAGCGGCACCGTGGAACAAACACATGCGGAGCATGGAAAATGAAGACATTCGAGGGCGATCGCACGTGTCAATGGATGACGGCAAAAAGGATCACGACAAATTGGAAGGCTGCATGGCAGCAGGAGACAAGAAAATGACAAGAGCTAGTTAGATGGTGGCACGGTGGCGGGAGAAGAAGACGACAGCATCAAAGAGTCTCCAAATGTGCGAACCCCTGGTCCGAGCAGCTGACCCTGCTGCCGGTTGCCTGCCACAGGACGAGCACGATTCACTGCTGCCAGACTCCATGCTGAGTATGTGGCCACTGAGGTCACCGACCTGCTGCGCAATAGCGCTAACTCTCCTCTTCCACCGCATCACAAGCCCCCTCGCTGCCAACGCAGCCGCACGTCAATGAGTTCACCGCTCCAGTCCACTCAAGCATCGAGACAACTGGTGGCATTGAACTTTTCCTAGATTGGTCCGCAGAACCTTTAGTTAGTGCATTTCCCTAGTCTTAGTAGCTTTAATTTGTTTATAACTTTATCAGTACTATTTGTTTCATTTTCTTATTCCTTTTCTTCTTTCTCCTTATGTCATAAAGTTATATTCCATTTGGTGTGTAAAAACATGGCTTCTCCTTTCCTGTCTTGAGGCTCTTGCCTCATTAAAAATAAACATAAGACTAAATGCTGCATAATAGCACCTGATACGAAAAGCATCAAGACAAACAAATCTCGCAACAAATGCATGTGAAGGGAAGCTGTAGGTGACTAAAAAAAAAAAAAAAGCATGCGCATGCAGCAAACACCCCTTCATGGCTTTACTCAGCAAAGTAACAAGTGTTGTTGCACGTGAAAGTGGGCATGTACATACTGCACATATAAGTCTAAAGTGCAGTTGCTGCAGCATCTACTGTTGGCAACCACCCAACTAGGTGGCAAGGAGGCGATCAATGGAGCATGCATGCCTTCACAGCTCATGGACAGCACCACAGAGGAAGTGCAATTCGCTATTTGTGTGTCAGTGTCTGTACAAGCATGATACCAAAGACAAAGAGATCCTAAACTGTCAATGATTCAAGAGAGCCTGAAACCCCCGAGCGTGACACATAAGCTACTGGTGAATGGAACCGTTCTTTCATTAGATCTATGCTAGTCGATAAATGATGATCGCTCTTGTTAACATTACAAGCCACATGCAAATAAGGCCCTGCTTCTCTATCCCTCCACACATTCCGAATTAGCCAAGAGGGCAATAGCTAACCTATGATTCAAGAATGCCGTGCCACCTCTCCAATGCCTTGAGGTTTAACCAGCAAAGAATAAGGTTGATCAATGCTGGCTGTCCCCATCCTGTGCTGGTCTCCGTCGCTGAACGTATTTTGAGACAAAAAATGTGCGTCACACGGCACCCAAATCATTTGAGCACAAGAGTCCCATAAGTTTGTTGCCAGACAAACACACTTTCTCTCATAATTTAACCAAAAAAAGCACTCGCAGATAGCAAATGCGCGTGCCATCTTTTCAGCCCCAACCGAACTCAAAATGTTGTGCAAGATCACAGCTACTAGTGCACAAAATAACCATGCCTGTGAAAAGAACCACAAAAATAAATCTGTAGAATGCACCGAGTATGTTGTTTATTGTCTGCCACTGTTGCATGGTTGCAGCTATGTTGGGTAAGCCGGTTGTTGCCTTAACAATTACTTACATGAGCACTACTGCGATGTCAAGAACATGGCTGGTGGTTTCCTAAGGATGCATTTTAAAACGTATGGCTGCATTTCGTTGCGGAACACATGCAGAATTGCTGACAAACATAAATCACCTGACAAGAGAGATCATCGCAGCACAAGAAATTGAGACGATGAGGGAACTGTGTGCAAGCATGCAGTCCATTGCTATGACTAAGAATTGGATTTTCCAGGTCCCACTATGCCAACTTGAAAGTGTCATCTATTGGCAGCTTCAAGCTAATGCACACAGATGTGGCCAGATTTGGTGACACTGAAAGTAGCAACACCACTTGCCTGGTAAAGTGCTGGCAGAGCACAGACTTTATGTGTCGATATGTGTGCCTTTTTTTCATCATTTTCAAATGCTTTCAGTTTCCTTCAAAAAGTGACAAGAATGTTACCCCTGCAGAGCTTTTATTTTTAAAAAAAAGTGACTTTAGAGTTACTGTGCTTGGTGACCCTCTGGCCGTGTGAGAAAACACATCTTGCAGAGAGCTACTAAGTACTAGGAACATCCAAGCCTAATTTCGCAGTCGTATACGGCACAGTTTACAAGAGTTATGAAACTTGCCATTTTCTTGGGTGCCCTCTTTTCATAAGAGGCCTACCCTTCCTCTCCTCAGAGATATGGCACCTGCTTCTTGATGTCAGACAGCAGATAGCGTGCTATTCATAGATAGCATGGCATGAATCAAGAGCAGCACTTGGATCAGATACGCTTCTTGCTATGGCATGCCACCACGTGCCAGTGCTGTACTCGATAGTCCACTAACATTACACAGTGAGCCGCACTAACTGTGTAACACAAGCACCACAACAGGAAAGAGCGATTGCGTTCATAACGCTGACTCAAGGTTATGACAAACGATGACGCAAGTTCTTTTCCTCGTACCATCCTCTCCGTATAGCTTCCAACACGACCGCCGTGACAAGAAAAGAGATAAAAGCCGTCGTGACAAGAAAAAAGAGAAAGTACTGAGAGCGCACAACCAACTTCGTTGATTCTTGATGAATTTAAGAAATTGCTGTGGCAAACAACTCTGGAGGCAATAAGCTTCAGTACTGAGGTCATTCCGCAATTACTTGCAAAAGTGGTTCAAAACTCCTTTAATAAAGCACATTTAATAACCTCAACCATACCACAACCCTATGAGTTTTAATAAAGATGGCTCGAGGCATCTGCTTTTCCTAATTGCCTTTGTCACCACTGTCCATTTCTATGCTGTTTAAAAAGTAGGTGCAGCCAACTGGCCCAAGTATGCATCATCAAAAAACCTTATCACTCTAGTGCAATGCCTAGATTATAAAGCCAAAATTAGGCACACCAAAGGAATATTTCTTTGGGGAGAAGGGGAATCAGCTCACCACCAGTGTGCACTGGCAAAAAAAAAATTGTCATAATATGCTCGTGCGTGGCCTTAGCAAAAAAGAGACTCTCTAGTGCATTTAGACAGGGGGTTGTCTTGCACCAAAAGGCTAGCATTACGTGCCTCTTCCCACCAGGACAGAGAGGCTTGTGGGATGGGGTCTGCGAGACATCATATATGAGCATGTGCACGCTTGTTGGAGCTTAAACGTTGGTGCATCTGTGTTCATATTGCCATGCTGTTTGTGGCAGAGGGAGAGAGCATAGAAGTGAGTGGCTGCTGTGGCCGAGTGAATAGTCGTTCGCTGCTTCAAGTTTCTGTTGGTAGTTTTTTCTCATGACAGACTGGTGGAGGTGCTGGGTACTGTGACGTCTTATGCCTGCTGGCCCTTAACCAGAAGCAACCAACACCAGTGCACTAGGGTCTGCTGATATCCATCAAAGCAGCCACTCACTTCTATACTCTCTTCTGCCACCAACACAGCGTGGCAATATGCTTGGGCGCCATTTGTCTTTTCAATACCACTTCCCTGGCAAAGTGCTGGCAAAGCCCAGTATTACAGAATCGCAGCACTAAAAGGCACAATGTTTTTGTTGTAAGACAGCAGCATAATAGACTCACTAAGGGACAAGGCTTGCATGAAAAGAAATTGGTGCATGCGCAGACCATGGCTGTATTTTTTTACCAGCACGCTGCACCGGCAAGCAGACACATGTCTGGTGTTCGAAATCGTTTTGCGAGTACCCATATATCCGAGAGTCAGGGCATTGTACAGCAACATAAACATGTGTCTTCAGTCCAGCAACAAACATTAAATTAATTTCTTTGTCTACTTATCAAAGTCTGCAGTATGTCCAACAGCATAGAGATCCCTCCACCTTAGCCAACCCAGAAGCTAAAGCTCAAACCATCTCATAGACACAACCCACGTAAAGTGAAGAAAGTTCATTAGATTAGTAATATGCTCACTGAGGTACACCATTGCATTTAGCATTTCTCAGTAATGAACAACTGCACAAAAATGTATTTAGTAAATTTGCCAAAAGCTCAGTCCAAGCCACGCTGACCCATTTGTGCTCTAAGCAAAGCCTAAACTCGAGTTCTTGAATATCAACCTAACCAGATGACAAAGCTGGATGGCCACTGGCATCCATGTATAGTCTCTTTCTTGCTGAAAAAATACCATGACTAAACCACCTACAAAAGGCTTGAAATATGCATATAGTAAATGAAAGGTATCTCGTGAATAGGTGATGCCGGTCTTCTAACTTGAAATGATAAGCATTTCAGAACTCTCCTGCCAGCATTAAACTTAATTGATAACTCAACAGCCAAGATTGCATGGAACTCATTGAATACAATAAGGCCATACCACACAGAATGCCAAGATTCACTATAATCACAATCATTATGTCAAAAACATTTACAATGATGCCTTTTTTTTATATATAAAAATGAAAGCAAAGCCAAGGGTAAACTAGAAACATTCCCACCTGTCTTTATCCCTTTCTTCTGACTCGTTCGTTCCACCAAAGACATGTCAACTGTTCAGTTTTGCAGGCAGGGCTGGAAAGATTTGGAAGACAGC